TATATATATATATATATATATGAGGGATCTGTTTACTCTAGGAATAAGTTTACATAGACTTACTTAGTTCAATAACTCATGTTTTATATCAAATTTTAACGATCCAACCATTGAATTTAAAGTTCTTAATACATATATTAAGTCTGCAAATTTTCAAAAAAATTTGAAAATCATTTGATACTTCAGTTCATTAATTCAAATTGATGGATAATCATAAAATCATTTTATACATTAATTTGAATCAATGAAACGAAGTATCAAATGGTTTTCAAACTTTTTAAAAATTTATAAATTTGATCTATAAATTAAGAACTTTAAGTTCAACGGTTAGATCGTCAAAATTTGTTGTAGAATATGAATTATTGAGCGGAATAAGTCTATGTAGACTTACTCCTAGAATAGACAGATCCCTTCTTATATATATATATATATAGAGGAGGGTTCAAACGTTGAACTCATGTTTACAACTACAATAGCACCTCGAACAGGATCAATAATTTCACGAGAACCTTTGCTAATAAAAATTTCATAACCTTTTTCTTGTAATTGACCAGCACTTAACAAGTTGCTTTTCAAGTCAGGGACACAAAACACATTAGAAATTGTTTCTACAAAACCATTCTTGGTTTTTATTTTTATATCACCTTTTCCCATCACTTTCACAGTAGAGCAATCACCAAAGCTCACGATAGAATGAAAATTTTCATTTAAATATGAGAAAGAGGACTTACTTCACTAGTACATAATACACATTTTACGTCAGTTAGTTTAGGGGTTTTTACGTCAGAAAAATGTCCGACGTAGAAGCGGGAGACGTAAATTTACGTCGGGGCGCGAAAACCGACGCAAATTTACGTCGGACATGTGAAGGTCCGACGTAAAAAGTCATAAAAAATTTAAAAAAAAAAAGAAAACAAGTGCAGCAGAACGGCCCGTTCTGCTTGGAGAACGGGCCGTTCTCCAAGCAGAACGGGCCGTACTTCTTGGAGAACGGCCCGTTCTGTTTGAACAACGGCCCGTTCTCCATGGAGTACGGGCCGTTCTGCAAGCAGAACGGGCCGTTCTGCTTGAGAGACCCAGGAGCGCGTTCTCAGGTAGACTTGGTCACTTCCTTCTCCATCTCCAGCTTCAAAAACTTGAAACAAACAGATGAAAAAAACATCATTTACGTCATAGAACCTCATAGAAAAGCCCAGAAACAGAAAAACACAAACTTGAAGATGGTACCTCGAAAAATTATAAGGAAGGAAAATACACATTTAGTCGTATGAACGCAAACTGCTTGTTTTTGTCGTATGAACGGAGACTGAATGATAGAAAAATTATAAGGAAGGAAGGACCGAAGGAGTAGGAGGCGGAGGGATTTACACAACGAAGAGGGAGAGGGTTTACAGAGAAAAAAATGAAAAGTGATGAAAAGTGAATGCGCGCGGTGTGCCTCGCGCTCTCTTATTCAAATTTGCGTCTTTTTTACGTCGGACCTGGTAGGGTGCGACGTAAATTGGACTTTTTACGTCAGACCTTCCCAGGTGCGACGTAGATTGGACTTTTTACGTCGGACCTTACCAGGTGCGACGTAAAAAAGTTCGCAAAAATTACAAAAATGCCACCGCATTTTTTTTACGTCGGATTTTCGTATTTCCGACGTAAAAGGGGTGACGTAATATACTTATTTTCTACTAGTG